TATGACTGGTGGACTTCAACTCCCAGAATTCCTGAGCCAGCCACGCTGAGGGGAAAGGGAGAGGTTTCCAAGCTGAGCCATGATGGCTCAGGAATTCTGGGAATTAAAGTCCACGAGTCATAAAAGAGCCAAAGTTTTCCCCATGCTGGCTCAGGAATTCTGGAGTTGAAGTCCAGAAGTCATGAAGGGGCCATAGTTCCCCCATGCTGGCTGAGGAATTCTGGGAGTTGAAGTCTGCAAGTCATGAAGGGGCCATAGTTCCCCCATGCTGGCTCAGGAATTCTGGGAGTTGAAGTCCGAAGTCATGAAGGGGCCATAGTTCCCCCATGCTGGCTCAGGAATTCTGGGAGTTGAAGTCCACGAGTCATAAAAGAGCCAAGGTTGCCTACCCCTGCCCTAGACCCTCTCTGGCGCCTTTATCCTCTTTGGGGTTTCTGCTCCCTGGATGGAAAGAGTGGTGCAAATGCGTGACTCTCATCCAGACCGGCAAGGAGAAAAAAAATCTACAGATAGTCCTCAAGTTACGACCACGACTGAGCCCAAAATTTCTGTGGCTAAGTGTAACATTTGTTAAGTGAATTTGCCCCATGTTACAAGCTTTCTTGCCACAGTTGTTACGTGAATCACTGCGGTTGTTAAAATAGTCATAAGTGAATCTGGCTTCCCCATTGAGAAGGGGGGAATCACGTGAGCCCGGGACCCTGCAACCGTCATAAATGTGAGTCAGTTGCCAAGCATCTGAATTTTGATCATGTGTCCATGAGGCTGCTACAACGGTCGTAAGTGCGGAAACTGGCCATAAGTTGTTTTTTCAGTGCCGTTGTAACTTTGGACGGCCATTAACTGAAGTGTTGTAAGTGGAGGATTACTTATAATCTTATTTTATGGCCCAAACCATGCCATAATCAAAACTGCACCAACAATGGCGCAATTGATGCACCTTAAAAATCAGATGGAACGTAGATCCCATCATCATGATGTCATCTTGACCGCTTGGACCTTCTGCAAGATCCCCCCTGGGGTTCTCTCCCTGATTGGCCAGCCAGCATTTTGCAGTACACGTGGTCCTCGACTTACGAGCACAATTGAGCCCATCATTTCTCCTGCTAAGCGAGACATTCGTTAAGTGAGTTTTGCCCCATTTTACGACCTTTCTTAAAATCTCGGGATCGTGACTGAAATGTTCTGGATGTCCCAAGTGGTAGTGAGCATCTTCATAGACACTCCCAAGTGCTAGGTCAGTGTTTCTCAACCTTGACAATTTTAAGGCATGTGGACTTCAACTCCCAGAATTCCACAGCCAGCAATGCTGGCTGTGGAATTCTGGGAGTTGAAGTCCACATGCCTTAAAATTGTCAAGGTTGAGAAACACTGTGCTAGGCAGTTCCCACGGCCATCCGGGGGCTCTCAGGCAGAAGGCCGTGTCCCGGCCTCAGATGCACGTGGCAGACCAAAGAGGCCATCTTGTTCTCCTGCCCATTTTCTTGTGCCGGAATTCTGGCCTTAAAAATCCTCTCCCTCCAATTTCCTGTGAAAAATTGCAGCATATTTTTGAGATTTTTTCAGACGAGAAATACTTCAGAAGACGATGGGTTTTTCTCCTGCTTCTCTTTCACCATGACAGGAGGTGGGCCAGGAGCCAAGACACCCATTTTTGTAGCAGATTCGGCCTTTTCAGCCAAATTTCATGGATAAATTTATTCTACCCTCAGGGAAAAGGAACGCTTCAATCACAGGCGGGTGATTATTCAAGAGGTAACCAACCTGATTCCCTCTGAGAAGAAGTCCCCGTAGTTTTGGATGGAATTTACTGGCACCTTTTGCCCACTTACCAACTAAAAGTCTTTCTGGCACAAAACATTGCCACCTAAATCAACATTCGCAGTAAGACTAAAGTCAATTTATTTTAAAGAGGCAATTAAATGATAGGTCTTTATATCTAATGATGACACCTTCAGCTAATTGGGCAAATTGCTAATGTGTACATTTGTGCACCCAGCCGGAGGAGAATTGAAGAAAAGGGAGGGAGGGAAGGAGGAAATGGATGGGAGAAGGAAAGAATGAGGGAGGGAGGGAGGGAAGGAAGGAAGGAAGGAAGGAAGGAAGGAAGGAAGGAAGGAAGGAAGGAAGGAAGGAAGGAAGGAGAAATTGAAGGGGAAAGGAAGGAGATTGAAGGAAGGAAGGAAGGAAGGAAGGAAGGAAGGAAGGAAGGAAGGAAGGAAGGAAGGAAGGAAGGAAGGAGAGATTGAAGGGGAAAGGAAGGAGATGGAGAAGGATCTGGGTGTCTAAGTGTGTGTGTGCTTCTTTTCTTGTATGTGATTATGGCTTAGTTTTTCTTTTGTTTTTTATTTTACATCTAATTAGCATTATTGCTTTTTTTTTTTTAATAAAAAAGCAAATCTGCTTTCGTTGTGACCTCTCTTGGATTAATATTGATGAGGAAAAACAGAATGCAAGTGATTGAAATTAATTAGGGAATTTAGTAAGACCGTGTATGTGTACATTCACAGGACTTCTTTGCAACTCTGATGTAGACTATGAGTCTTCGTAGGGCTAAAAAGGGACCGTAGACTCATAGAATCATAGGGCTAGAAGGGACCTTGGAGGTCTTCTAGTCCACCCCCCCCCCGCCAAAGGCAGGAGTCCTTATTCCATCCCAGAGAAAGGGATGTCCAATCTTTTCTTGAAGACCTCCAGTGTTGGAACACCCACAACACTGGGAGGGAAGCTCTTCCATTGATTAATTGTTCTCACTGTCAGAAAATTCCTGGTTGAATCTCTCCTTGATCAGCTTCCATCCGTTATTCCTTGCCTGGCCTTCAGGTGTTTTGGAGAATAGGTTGTCCCCCTCTCTGTGACAGTCCCTCATATATTGGAACACTGCTGTCATGTCGCTCCTGGTCCTTCTCTTCAATAGGTTAGACATAACTACTCCCTTAACTATTCATCATACTATTTAGCCTGCAGCCCCATAATCTTCTGTCTTGACCTATTTTGCATTCTGTCTTGGGCCTCAGCACCTTTTTTGTATTGTAGTGCCCAGAACTAGAGGCAGCATATAAATTGCATATATTTGTATAACATGTACAGGTAGTCCTTGACTTACAACAGTTTGTTTAGAGATTGTTCAAAGTTACAATGGCACTGAATATATATATATGTGTATATATATATATATATAGGTCTTTGGTTATTCGGGTTTTCTCCCATGTAAGATTGGAAGTGTCTTGGCGACGTTTCGATGAAGTCTCATTCGTCATCTTCAGGCTGGTGCTTTCGGCTTCGTGCTTCTAGGATCAATGTGTGATTGTAGCTGTTTCCTCCTTTTAACTGCCAGTGGGGGTATGAACTGATTGGATGGAGGTGTGTTCTGACGAATGAGACTTCATCGAAACGTTGCCAAGACACTTCCAATTTTACATGGCAGAAAACCCAAATAACCAAAACCTACATACAAACACCTGCGAAAACCTCAGAAAACAAATATATATGTATGTATGTATGTATGTATGTATGTATGTATGTATGTATGTATATATATACACACACATACATGTTTGTTTGTTCAAAATCCTAAATCTCCGAAAGTTCTTCACCGATTGCTTTGAAATTTTGACACAACGTTGCATTCGAATACACGCATGTTTTTATATACCTATATTATATAGATGTCACACCTGTGACAGGTAAAAACATGCTTTTTTGAAAAACAGCGCCATCTGTTGGACATAAAAGCAACACACGGTACAATTTCAGACAATCTCTATATCTACACCAGCGGTTCTCAACCTATGGGTCGCGACCCCATTTGGGGTCGATCGACCTCTTTTGCGGGGTCGCCAAACGCGGCGATCCGCCATTTTGTCCCCTCCGGGGGCGCGCTGCGCCTCCGGGGGGCGGTGCCGCGCACGCGCGCTGCGCGTGGGGGTGGCGGCGCACCTCCGGGGGCCGCCGCCGCGCATGCGCACCGCGCGTGGGGCGGCGGCGCGCCTCCGGGGGTGGCGTCGCGCATGCACGCCGCGTGCGGGGGGGCGCCCCCATGCGCGCCGCCACGCATGTGCATAACGTTTGTGTGACGGGGGTCGCCGTCACACAAACGTTGAGAACCGCTGATCTACACAGACAATGGAACAACAAAAAATATTGTATACCCACAAGCATTGTGAAATTAAACACATTAGAGAACCAATGTGAGCCAATTCAGAGGCTGACCGTCGTCCTGTTGATTGCAGTTCCCCCTTGCAGACAGTGGATGGGAAATATATATTACCTTGATTGTTTTTTGATGCACCCTGTCGGCCCAAAATCTTTCTCCCATATTTGGGCCTGACAGGGTGCATCAAAAAACACTCAAGGTAATTCTCCTCCCCTGTCTTTCCTCTTCCCTCCCTCACACAGCTAACAAAGTGAGAAAGAGCCTGTGGCCTAGAGGTCAACACAGCTGCCTAATGTGCAATATATATATCTGTGACTTCATTATTTACTTCCACAAGGATGAAGAGATAATTCAAAGTCAAGGTAACTAAATTCATATGCAGGGAGACTATTTTTAGCATTGAGTCATAGCCGTATGCTAATTGCAAATTTGGTTGTAGAACATCTTGATGAGGTTGCCCTCCAAGGCTTTGGAGATGGGTCAGGCCAGGCCAGCAAGAGGGTAGTTCACAACTTCCAAGATCACCCCTGACAAGCCCGATCTCTCAGTGTGTTTTGGTGAAACGGTAGGTTGTTGGAAATTCCTGCTGAAAAAGACCTTAGTGCACTAGACAGAATTAAGTGTGCAACGGTTGTGTGCTCCTTCAGGAGGTATGCAGGTTCTTTGTACTGTGGAAGTGCTCTTTGCTTTTGACTTGATGAGAAGATCCAGTCCATGTCAAGACTGGCCAGTTGTGATCCTTTTTTGTTTCTCTGCCTGAACTGTGTATTTCCTTTCCCACACAGGACTGTCATTTAATTTGAGGGATTCTAATGTCTGCAATTATGTTTTTACAAATGTGCAGCGTGTCCAGCTGAGCAGAGCATGGAGTGAACAACTTGATGGACAACCAACAAGATAAGGAATGTGCCTCGGAAGAACAAGAAACAATCTTGATTAATGGGGTGAAAGAGGATGGTAAGGGATCTAATTATAGCAAGGGATCTGCCGTCACCACCTCTGTGTTCTTTGCTCAGAGATCTATCCTAAATGGGGCAGGGTTTTTCTGCTATTTCCAAAGATTGTTGGGTGGGATAACAATTAGGAAGTTTCTTTTTTTTATTGAATTAATATTTCTGAGAATCCAAAATTCTTCACATGCTTTCTGCCACCCTGCAACACTTCCAACATAATTTGGCAATGGCAAACACCAGCATCTTAACTGACTTCATTTAGAAGTCCCAAATTAGTAAAAAAAAAAAATGATATATGTTTACAGCAGCCAGAAACCTGCAAAATTATCCAAATCCTGTACAATTCTAGTGAGAAATTCAAACTCACACGTCAGAATTGAAATCATGTAAGAGCGTGTTTCTCAACCTTGGAGACTTTAAGATGAATGAACTTCAACGCCCAGAATTCCCCAGCCAGCATGATGAGTTAAAGTCCACCGGTCTTAATGCAGGCTGGCTGGGGAATTCTGGGAGCTGAAATCCTCACATTCAATAATACCAAGGTTGAGAAATACTGATGTAAGATTTTACAATTTTGTGAGATATCAGATGACAATGTTGATTGTCATCAACTAAAATTGCAGAAGGGATACCTGTTAGGAGATGACTAAGGTAGTCCCGGAGGTGAATATTATTTTCCCCATATTACAATGGAGGGATGTCTTTTCCCTCCCTCAAGACTTCCTCTTAGCAATGGCAGTTTAATAGACTCAATAAAGCTCAGAGAAATCAAGGAGACCTCAGGCCCCATAAAGATTTGAGGATTGTCCCTTATATTTACATTTTCATAACTGGGAGGATTTAAATGCAACACAATTGAAAGCGAATTCCTTGTGTCACCAGTCAGGCTTGGCCGATAAAGAATATTCCCATTCCTATATTCCTATTCCTAATTGGCTACTTTATGAAAAAAACATGTGATTTGTACTTTCTGGATATGTTGTCCAAACTTGATACCATAATAGGAAACATTAATCATCCTCTCAGATTTATTTCCTTTTATGTTCTTTAGCTGAGGCCAGTAATTCGGTGGGATTAACCTGGGCTCAAGGAAGAGGGCTTGTAGTGAATTTTCCTCACTTTTCTTGCTGATGTGCCTTGACTCACTAGCTTGATTGGTATCTTCCGTTTCCTCCAAAATAGCACTGATTTCAAAAGGAAAATATTTATTTTTGGATAGCTTTACACTTCCCCTCCAAGCCAACTTATGAGTGATGAGTGCTGGAGGTCCCAGGGAAGGAGGGTCAAAATAGTCAAGATGTTGTCCATGACTGCACAAAACCTGCCCCCTCATTATATATCACGAATGAAGGTGAATATATGTTGCAGGATCCAATCTGAATCGACACTGGGGCCAGAGTGGTAAATGAACACTCCTGTTGACTGACAAGGGGCCAAATTCATTGCAACGAGCAAGGACATACATTCAATTTTGCTGCTACTAAGGTTGTTGGATGAGCAGGGACAAAAACAGCCAGGGAAGTGATTGAAGCCTGGGAAATGGGCCCCTTGTCAATCAACAAGAGTGCTCATTTATCACCAGCTTATCAAGTACTTAGGAAACCAAATGCACAGGTATAGTATAGGGGGTACCTTGCTCAGTAGTGGTAACTGTGAGAGGGACCTCGGAGTCCTAGTGGACAATCACTTAAATAGGAGCCAGCCGTGTGCTGCAGCTGCCAAAAAGGCCAACACAGTGCTGGGCTGCATTAACAGAGGGATAGAATCAAGATCACGTGAAGTGTTAATACCACTTTTCAATGCCTTGGTAAGGCCACACTTGGAATACTGCATGCAGTTTTGGTCACCACGATGTAAAAAAGATGCTGAGACTCTAGAAAGAGTACAGAGAAGAGCAACAAAGATGATTAGGGGACTGGAGGCTAAAACATATGAAGAATGGTTGCTGGAATTGGATATGTCTAGTTTAATGAAGAGAAGGATGAGGAGGGACATGATAGCAGTGTTCCAGTATCTCAGGGGCTGCCCCAAAGAAGAGGGAGTCAAGCTATTTCCCAAAGCACCTGAAGGCAGGACAAGAAGCAACGGGCGGAAACTAACCAAGGAGAGAAGCAACCTAGAACTAAGGAGAAACTTCCTGACAGTTAGAACAATTAACCAGTGGAACAACCTGCCTCCAGAAGCGGTGAATGCTCCAAGACTGGACAGCCAATTGTCCAAAATGGTATAGGGTTTCCTGCCTGAGTAGGGGGTTGGACTAGATGACCTCCAAGGTCCCTTCCAACTTTATCATCATCATCATTATTATTATTATTATCGATCATCGCACAGTCAGCCAGATGTTCAGACTGGATTTGGCATTTTGTCTACCTATCGAGTCCTTACCCAGGACCTGGGATAGGCAGATGTGGATGTTTGATGGTATTACAGATCTCGTCGCAGGATGGAAGCAGTTCCTAGTAAGGCTGCCTTTTGGAATTGACTAATAGCGAATTTGTCAATAATAATTTATTATTATTATTATTATTATTATTATTATTATTATTATTATTATTATTATTATATTACCTCCAAGGTCGCTTCCAACTTTACTACTACTACTATTATTATTATTATTATTATTATTATTATTATTATTAAGGGCTTGGCAACCAACAACTTAATAACCAGCTAACAGCACTCCAATCAACAACTAAAAACCCACACACAACAGGCACCACATAAATACTACATATAGAATAGCCCAAAGCACATATTCCGGTAGAGCAGAGGTCCCCAACTTTTTGGGCACCAGGGACCGGTTCTGTGGAGAGAGGTTTTTCCGTGGACAGGAGGGGGTGTGGGTTTGTGTGCTGCCTGCATCCCACGGATGGGGCTTTGCTTGTTTGTGTGGACAGGTTGCTGGCATGCCGCGGCCTGATACTGGTCCACAGACCAAGGGTTGGGGACCCCTGCGGTAGAGTGAAGTTCCCTGAGGATGGGCTCCAGAACACATCCGAAAGCTCGGAAGACTAACTTTCTGGTCCTGGGGACTGACCCAAATTAGATCCTGCTTTATTATATATGTTGACAAATCATGTCATTTGACTTTTTGACACACACCCCATTAGTCGTTTGATTATATTTCATTTATGGTTATAAAAATATAATTAATCTACATAAAAAGTAGAGTTTCCCAATCTACAGCCCTTCAAATATCATTGTACATTTTCAGATCAAACTCTCTGGGCCCTTTTTGGCAAAATCTGATAATGAGCATCTTAAACCGAGTAACAAAAAATTAATTAGAAGTGCCTCTGCTTTTACAAAAAATGTAAACTTCTTTGGCCTCTTCAACTTTTTCTGCAGAGCCCGATCAACATGCATTAGGGGATAATCATCATCATCATCATCATCATCATCATCATCATCATATACATGGAAATTAAATTTGAAAGCAATAGAATTGTTACTATTAAAATTTTCTCTGTATAGTGACCTCATCTGAGCTCAAATTGACATGAGAATATTAAATCAAACTACCTTAGAAAGGCAAACAAGAAACAGGAAGAAGTAATACTTTTTATAAGTGCTGGCTCAGAATTTGTGAGGATTATTTGTTTTTAAAGTGTGTGTGTGAATTTAATAATGCATCAAGTCAATCAAATTAATTCATTCTGTTGCCTTCCTCTGTGGCTCCGTCTTCCATCAAAAATGGGAAGGTCCAGAACAGCATTCTTACTAATCTTCTCTCTCTCTCTCTCTCTCTCTTTTGGCTATTCTTTCAGAATCGAGCAATCTAGATGGTGACGACAAACCCCTCCGTGCGGCAGCAGACGCTGCAGTCCCCTTTCCGGCTGTGACGTCCGCAGGGGCAGCTCAAAAAGAGACCCGATCCCAGCCGGCCCTGACTTCCAAGAAGACCTGCTGGCTAAGCCCTCCTTCCCCCTTGAGACTGGCTGATGTCCCCGATCACATTTCCGATGACTCCTCCTCCGTCCATGCCATTTCCCTCACCTCTTGTGTCACGAAGGGCATGAGCGCCTGGTCCCTCCCGGCAGACTGTGAGAAGGCCCCCTTCAGCATGATGGAGCCCGGGACCATGTCCGCCTTCACCGGCGACTGTTTGATGCAGCCAAGTCGGACCTGCCTGGGGTGTTTTATTGAGTCGAAGGACAGCCTGGATCCAGAACCCGGGATCAGCCTAAAAGTGGGTGACATAAATAGGGATTATGACACCTGTTCGGTCTCCGACATTGGGATTCACTGCATGAGTACAGGAGAGACCATGCGATATGGAGACCAGCTCCTTTCTGACCAGCTTCTCAGCTTCCCTGTGCACAAATCGAGAGCAGCCGACAAACGGGAGGCCGACAAATCCGACAGTGACTCGGAGGATCCAACTCAGAAAAATTATTATGACGGATTACTTTTGGACAAGTGCAATGTGGAGGAACCTTTACTAACAAATCCCAACCAGGAATGGGGTTATTTTGAATCTTTCATTAGCGAAAGCAAAATTGAGCTCCTTGACCTTTGCTCCAAAAATGAGCTCTCTGTAAATCTGTTTTCCGAGGAGGATGTGGATAATTACATGTTCGATGATGACGATTCGACCTTGGGAAGTGACGTCTGCTCTTTAAAGATTCGTTACGAATCCTTCCAGGACAGTGTGAAGGAGAAAACGGGTGGCCTGCAAGAGGACACCCAGTTTAACTTCTTCCCCAGTGTGTTTAGTGGGTGTCCAAAAAGGGATGGTAGGACTGCTTTGAAGAGGGGACCCCGAGGGGCAACTGATCCTTCCCAATTCAAATCTGAGGAGACCATCATTTGGGGGGAAGAGGAGGGGGATGGACAGCAGGAGGAGGAGGAGGAGGAAGAGGAGGAGGAGGAAGAAGAGGGAGGTGAAAGTGAGAAAGTTGCCTTAAACAAATCTTGCACCAGTACAGAACTTGTACAGTACATCAGTCCCAAAAGAAATCACTTCTTGGAACTGGTGAACTCCACAGAGGACTCGGGGGAGTTCAGCGATGATAGCACTTGCACCGAATCCTCTTTTGACGTGCTTCAAGACCTGAAGGACTGCAACAAGTACCTTCCCCGGGACCACTCCAGTTCCTTCATCCAACAGAATTATGGCCTTCGAGCAAAAAGGAAAGTGCGATATAGCGAAGACTACCTTTATGATGTGGATTCCATCGAGAGTGAGAAGATTGTGGACAAGAAGGAGTGGATCCCGGATGGTCCCAAGGAAGAAGATGACGACGACTGGTGTCCGAAAAAGAGGCGGAAAGTTTCTCGCAAGGAGCCCCCCGTCATCATCAAGTATATCATCATCAACCGGTTCAAAGGAGAGAAGCACATGTTGGTCAAGCTTGGCAAAGTTGACCCCAGCGAGATGACAGTGACTTTGAGCGAGGAATTGTTGAGCAAATATGCCAAGTTGGCCCCCCTGAAGTCTTTTTGGCAGGAGAGGTGGCAGATCCGGCTTAACTTTCTCAAGTCTGCCCTCTATCACAAGCAGAGTTTCTATCTCAATGGCTCTGAGGTGGCCTTCCTGTCCCATCCACGCAAGCGCAAGGGCAAGATAGCCCACCGGCACCGGATCCAAAGGATTAAGGCCATCGAGCAGCCGGTGGGCAAGGGCGGCTCTTTCTCATCAGAATCCAAGCAGCTCTGTTGCAGGATCGGAGATGAGGAAGGAGGCCCGAAGGGGATCCAGGCCATGGCCATCGCAGCCCCCAGTTGTGTCAACGGCATCCATCTGAGCGACATTGCTGGCCTGGCCCTCCCTCCAGGCAAAGCCCGGGAGAGGGAATTCAAAGGGCCTGAGAAAAAAGTCTTGCGCAGGATCAAATTCAAAAGTGAGGCCCGGTTGAAATGCAAGCGACTCAAAGCTACCACCGGTCTGGCTGAGGTTTCAGCAGCCTTGGAGAATCCAGAGTCCGCCACAGGGTTAAAGGATGAAAGCGCGCCTTGTGCTGCAGACAGCGCTCCTCTCTCAGAGAGCCAGGAGGAAAAACTGGCCAAAAATGCCCTTTCCTTCCTACCCACCACTTGCACTTCAAACAAGCCAGCCGCATCTGCTAATCTGGCGGCCAGCGTGCCCCTCATCCCTGGCGGGTACCTGCAGACGTTATTGGATGCCTCCGATTTGGCCCACAGCACTGGCATCGCGTACTTCAGTCCTGCCGCCTCGGAGCAGCAGCAGCAGCAGCAGCGGGAGATCCTCCCCAGCCTCGTCCAAGCAGAAAAGGCCTTCTGTGCCCTGCAGCCTGCCCAGAGCTGCATTTTGTCCCCACCGTCCGAATCGGAGTTACAGCAATCCCCGAGTCCCCTCGAGATTGAGCCCGGCAACTTCCAACGTGTTTGGCCGGCTGGCAAGGCAAGCAGCCCGAGCAGTCAGGGTTTTGCTGGGCAGCTGCCGGACGCCTCCCTGCTTTCGGCTGTAGAGTTTGGTAACTGTGCAGGGTCGGATGACCTGCCAACCTCAGGATACAGCCAGGTCCACCTGAGCAACAGCAAAGTATTATACCAAAAAAAATTCCTCCTGGAGGGCCAGCAGCTGCAGTCGGATGACTCCTACCAGTCTTGTCCCTTCAACAACCGAGAGGGGAATTTCCCCTTCCAGCGGGGCACACTCAGCACCGATGACGGGAGACTTGTGAGCTTCGATTCGGTGGGCTCCCTTTCCGCCGCCTCCAGCAATTACAGCTCCTTGAGCTTAAAGTCTTGCGAGAAGGATGGAGATGACGAAATTGCCGACGACTTCTTGGCCCACTGCAGCCCCAAGCTGGTGATTCAGCAAAGCATCGATGAAATAACGCCCTTGAAGGAGTCCACCGATCTTCTAGATATTTCTAACTTCACCCCTGACAAATTCCGCCAGTCGTCCCTTTCGGAAATGTCTCCTCCAGATACGCCCAACCTTTCCCCACAGATCGCCGGGCCAGAAACTAAAACCCTGGGGAACATGAAGTGTTTCCCGGAGAGCAACCAAGTGGTGTTAAGCAACCCCGAGAAGGTCAGCTGGAGCTGTGGCGTTCTGCAGGCTCCAGACCAGGCGGATAATGGATTCACTTTAAATAATCATCAGTTTCAGTTCCATATGTTCACCGATGAGGATTCTGTCAGCCTCCTCGAAAAAAGCCCATCCTTGTCAACTTTTAATGAGCCATCTGCCCAAGTTAGCACCAATAGCAAAGCGACAAAATGCAAGAGGAGAAGTTCATGTAATAAAAATTTGGGTGCCAACCAAAACCCAACCCAGAAAAACGTTCGGAAAAAATCTCCCAAAGCCAACAAAGGCTCCGAAAAGGCCCCCAGCAGAAATTCCAGGCAGTCTCCCAAAACTTCAAGGAAAGGGAAAAACGGAGCAGGGGTCAATGGAGAAAAGACCCTCGCCCTGGGCGGTAGAGTAGCTGGTCTCTTGAACAGTTCAAACTCCTCGGCAAAAATGTTGGCCAATTCCCTACAGCAGGACAGCCCAAATGCCCTCCGGATAGGGAAGGCCAACGGTCTGTCCAGGGAATGGCCACTGGGGAAGGACAGTAGCGGTGGTTGGTCCGAAACCAGCATAGGAAGTGCCAACAGCCTTCTGGATGATGATCAAAGAGAATTTGAGGAGCCGTCCAACATTTTGTCAAACATTGCATCTGGCATGGCAGATGTTCAGAGATTTATGATGGCCTCCATCGAGCCCTTGTGGGGGCCTGTTGGCCACAGCGATGTCTCTGATCTCTTCCGATCCCCCGAATCAAACAGCCTGAAACTGAAAACTCTTAAGATCCTGGCTGGCACATCTCCCGAATCCAAGAAGAAGGTCAACGGCAGTTCTTCAGGATCGGGACGCAATCACAAATCGGGGAACAAGGGCTTGAGTAAAACCGGCAGCCGAGCTGCTCCCTGCGACCCGGGACGCTCTGGTTCATCCACCAGCTACACCACAGACATTCATTCACCTTTTTTTGATAAAAGCTATAGTAACCTGAGCACTTTAGCCAAAAATGAACCTACCCATAAAAAGCTCTACCGACACAAATCCACGTCAAAGTCCCTGCGCGACGAGAACTGCAAAGTCAAGCGGGCAGAGAGAGAACAGGGCCAAAAAGACCCAACCACAGTAGTTTCCTTTGAAAAACTGAGGTAATACCACACCAAGCTGGCTGGAATGCACCCTAACTTCCTTGCTCCCTGCTAAGCCCATCCTTGCTCATATTTTCCTACTTGGGAAACCAGAATTGCATGAAAGAGACATTTCCCTTTTACAGGTCTTTTTTCCGTTGTCGTCGTCGTTCTTGGTTTCGTTCTCAACGTGCATGAAAACACTTATTTCTTGCAAGCTACTTCAAAAGAATGACTTTTTTTTCCTGGCTTGGCTGGGGGCGGGGAGGGGGGGTGTTGAATACCGACTAACAAAGCTGTTCCTTTTTTTCTTGCTGATTGGCTTTTTCTGATTTGAATTCCTTTATTTATTCTTAAAAGGTTAATTCTGTGCTCCTTTTTTAATGGCTTGGAAAAGAGAGAAAGGGGAGGGGAAAGATTTCCAGGGGGGGAAGAGGGGAGGGAGACTTTTTGTAAAAAAAACAAAACACAGAGGGAAAAAAAAGAGACGCGCGTCCCCCAAGCTGAGATTTTTAAAGGGTCTTTTTACATTTGCAGAAGTCAGAGTTTCATCCCTAGTTGAGTGCTATGAGATGATTACCCGTGTTTTTAGCCCTGCCGATATCTTTATCCCTGCACCCTAAGAGCTCCGTCTTTCAAACATTCCCCCCCCCCATTATATGATTCCACCGAGTTAAAATGGCATATCAAATCTTTGGTTTTTCTGCAGGGATACAGACTACATTCTTCTTAAGGCAGAAACAGCATTTGGGGTTTTAGCTGTATTTGGAGAAGAGCTGCTGCCTTTTTCTAGGAAGACGTTTGAAGTTTCCTTGGTTCCCCAACTCTCTTCCCCTGTTTTTATTCTCCTTTGTTTACCCCTCGTCTTTCTTTTGCTCAAAAAGAGGGGGGGGGAAATGCCATGCCTTGTCTTACATCCAGGTGTTTAAAGTGCTGAAATGGAAAGCCTGAAGTGGTGGGGGCTTTGGAAGCCAATCTCGTTCCCTTTTTCCAAAGCCCTCTTCTTCTTGTACGATAATTGCTGCACTCTCAACCCCGCAAATTGTGCCAAACGCCAAGTGTTGTACTGTACATATTTTTACATCTCTTCTGGGTTGTGAATGTTTGGTGGTGCTTTCTCTTTTCTTTTTTCTTGCCCCCTTTTTTTGATTGACGAGAAACATTCCGATGAAACAGTTGGCCAACTCTCTTTAGACACCCACCGCCACTGAAAGGGTGAGGATCTGTTTGCTCCCGAGGTACTGAATGTTTTACGGACCTACCTGAGTTCTTTGTGCCAAATTGACTTACCTCATTGAATGGATGTTTCCCTGGGGCTTGCAACTTTTAAAGAAGTGGGGAGAAAGTGGGGGAGGCTTTAAAACGAAAAATAGGGATAGCTGGGCCCTCTCCAAAATCTGAACGAATATATATATATATGTGTAGGTCTTTGGTTGTTCGGGTTTTCTCCCGCGTAAAATTGGAAGTGTCTTGGCGATGTTTCGACGAAGTCCCATTCGTCATCTTCAGGCTGGTGTTTTCAGCTTCGTGCTTCGAGCAGCATTCGAGCATTGCTGCTCGAAGCACGAAGCTGAAAACACCAGCCTGAAGATGACGAATGGGACTTTGTCGAAACGTCGCCAAGACACTTCCAATTTTACGCGGGAGAAAACCCAAACAACCAAAGACCTACATACAAACACCCGCGAAAACCTCAGAAAACATACATACACATACATACATACATATAAAACAAGGTCGTAAAAAATAATTATAATATTGATAACTCAAAGTAACACTACTGGAAATTCAAGTGGTTGCATTTAGTGATTTTAAGAGCAGCTGTTTTTTCTATCACCTGTTTTGTTTTGAGCCAAGCTTCCAGGCGGAAGATAATTTCAAAAGCAAAGCTGTATGGCTGGCACTTTGTATCCGTTTTCTATATTTTGTAATACAAACCTGGGAATTTTCGAGAAAAAAAAGCCGTCTGACAAAAAAGAGCGATGCATTTCATAGACACTATATTGATCTTTCATTTTGAGCTTTTTTGTAACCATTTTTATGCTCCTTGTCGCAGGAAAAACTTGCCGACTCAAAAATATGATGTTTTCGAAATGTTTTAACCTTTGCAATGACAATATTATTTGAAGGTTTGTAAAAGAAAAATGAGTCAAATGTAATTGTTAATGCAATGATGGCTGATGGAATGTCAGCCCTCTCACCTTCCAGGATACGTGGCATCAGCTTCCCATCATCCCTAATTGTGAATGTCCAGGAATGTTGGGGGCTGTAGTCCACACATCCAGAGGGGCACAGATGGGGTGAGGGAAGAGGGTCCTGAGGGGGCAACAAAGGAGTCAAGATGGCAGTTGCCACCATAGGCAACCACAAACCCTGTGGGGGCTTCAGTCCAGCCATCTTGGTTTTTCAAACACCCTGTCACCCCACCCTTTACGGAGGCGGATTTACACACCCCAAACAAAATTGACCTTCTTATGATTGCATCCGGTGCGATCCAGATTCAGAATGTGAACAATGGGGTGTTTCCCCCCTACACACAAACACACCTCTGAGAGGAATAAGTGCTGGCTACTTTTTCCCCAAAGATCTTATTTTGAACCCTTTTTCCCAGCCCCAGGTCTCCCTTGAAGGGAAAAAAAATGTCTTAATGCTTATTTTCTATGCGTACCTGAGCCTGTGATTTTGCTCCCGATCTATGGTGAAACTTGATGTGGGGGGGGGGGCTCCTTGTGAGCAGAAGAGAGTGAACTGATGCACTGAAAAACAGTCTTAGGAAAAAGACTGATGAGCAATTGACGGAGTGATTGCAGCAACATCCGGTCCAGTTTGCTTTTCTTTCAGGATTAAGGGTTTTGGTTCTTCGCTATCAAAGTGTGTTTGACTGTATCCCCCTCCCATTTCAGTAAAAGGAGAGAAAGCAGATGCCTAAAAATATTCTAGACGACGTAAGAGAAAGCCATTCCGCCTACAGGAATACTCTGATAGATAATGGGTTCACTAGATTTGTCCAATTCCGCTCTTTGTTTACTTACAAAAAATAGTATTCGTAATGCCCGTATCTCTGGAAACAATACTGCATGCATGCCTGTTGCCCTCTGATTGGGTTAGACTTCAGTTCACCGCCCAAGAGGAGGGGAGTTGACATCCAAGGCATTTAGGTTGCACTGGTTGATTTGCCAAGATAAGATGGACTCACTTTCTAGTTGTTGATTCCATGTCATGGTCCATACTGTCCTGGGGAACTGGAAGAGGAAAGCTCTAATTTTATAAGGAGGCTGTGCTTAAGGATGAACAGAGAAGGCTAGTCCAGCACACATGGGCTGGCCTTTGGAAGGACTGTCACCTGGGGGGGTCACCAGCCTAATGAGGATGTTTCACCACTGCAGGGATTAGAGGCAGGATCCCTGGCCATTGTCAAGCTTCAAAAACCAACACAGACAACACTGTGATTCTTCTAAGAAGGTTTTTTTAATATTGTTCCTCACCTATAGACAGCATCTTGCCACACTAAAGCAGACTACTCGCCCCACCAAACATACACTCTGGGAATTATTAGGGAGGAAACATATTTATCCTCTTCACTGTCTCTTGCTTCTCTGGAAAGTACTTCCTCCTCCTGGGAATACAGACAATATTCCATCACAACCATCTTCTTCTGGTGAAGAGCGCCATCCTTAATAGGGCCTTCATCTTTTTTCACCAAAGAAACCTGTGCTCTTTTGGGAATAAAGACGGGTGAGACACCAGACAGTACTGCACTCATGCAATTGCCTTGCCTTGTTGCACACCATCGTGTTCTACTTGGGATGCCAAGGTGGGATTTCTTTTACTTTTCGGAAATCTCCCCATTCTTCTTCCTTGCCTAGGTGTAGGTCATTCTCTGCCGCAAATACCTAGACCAGCATCCTGAATCCATGGGCCCATTCCCCACTCTCTCAGTATCATCGAAGTGGACAGGGAATTGCTGTCAAGTGCCAGGGCTCATCCCTCTCCCCTTACACCCACCAGTCTCACCAGTGCTGGACTGAGTCGGGGCTGATCTCTTGGACATCCTGGGCCGTGTTTCTCAACTTCATCACCTTCAAGCTGTGTGGATTTCAGCTCCCAGAGTTCCCCAGCAGGCAGTCTACATAGCTTACAGAGGCTGAAAAACACTGGTCTACGGCAGGAGGGCTCAAAATATGTAGCCTTGCCACTGTGTGCTTAGCAAAGATGGAATTGAGTTAAAATATGCCACCTTGAGAACACAGGCAATCATTCAAGAGCCCAGTGAGAGGTCTGGGGGTCCAGATCGTACATTGTAGCCCACAGCACAGTTGGCATCTACACGTGTCTTTTAAACAATGTTTTCGATGATCATGGTCCTGCTGATAGGAAACACGGTGGAATGTCAGTGCGAGGAAGACCAAACCAAAACACCTGAGGGCCCAGGTTTGCCACAGACCAAACCGTTGTAAAATGGATGGGTTGGTGGTCCATTGGCCCCCTGTGGAAGTTCTATGCAAATAGAAAATAAGCAGGGGATATGCAACTGGAGCAGAACCATAGAATCATAAGGCTGGAAAAGACCTCGGAGGTCTTCTAGTCCAACCCCTGCCCAAGGCGGGAGTCCTTACACCATCCCAATCTTTTTTCTCTGTCATGAAAGCCATTTCCTTGAAGCTAAGACTCTCTGCCCGTTTCCAAGTGGGTAGCATTCACAGTTTGTTTTTTCCCCAGATGCAATCAAGAGCTACGACTTTATGTCCACATAGAATCCTCTAAAAAGATGAGGTCCAGATCCTGAATTATCCGCTAAAAGCATTTGCAGTTTTTCAGTAGTATTTCCCATTTGGAATTTCTTCTGCCTGTTGAGTCCCTAGTTGATAAGCTAAATACATTTATTTAGCATTTATGTATCCATAAAATAAATTTGACTTCACCTTTCTCTTGTCTATCTAAATCAGTGTTTTTCAAACTTGGCCACTTTTAAGATATGTAAAATTCTAATAGTCTTTTTTTCCCCTCTGTTGTATTTCATTTTGATTTATTTGTATAAACGCGCTTCCTATTTTATTTTATTTTTTTGATAATATATGCATTATCTTGGTATTTTTTCTTTTGTTTTTTATTGTTTCAAAACAATAATTTTTTTTTAAAAGCTGGCTGAGGAATTCTGGGAATTGAAATCCGCACAGCTTAAAGTGGCCATGTTTGAAAAACACGGATCTAGACCTTTCTCCTTGCAGTGCTGGCCCACAATTAGCTCT